AGGAGGACACCGAAGGACCACCAATCAACAGACGCGTTGTATCGCCATCCCTTCAGGATCTGTAAATAAAAATTGTCAACAAATTCAGGATTTCAATCTAACTAACAATTTATGACAAGATTAAACCTGATTTGGTTGTTGAATATCAAATCTCAACTAAAATGAACTAGTACTGTCAAAATTTTTGTTTAAAATTTATTTCAGCTCATAGAAATATGGTTATATGACAGTTTAGTTAACTATCAACTCAAAAGAAAAACTTGTGTACACTCCATAATTTTTAAAGAAAAGTTGAAATTAGTTACTCTTATGTATGGTTATGTTGAAAATAAATATCTCTTTTGTGAATTATTTTGTTTACCTCCGGAGCAATGTAATCTGGTGTGCCACAGAAAGTCGTCGCCTTGTTATCGTTGAATACAGCCTCTTTGCACATCCCAAAGTCAGCGATTTTGATGTGGCCGTCACGGTCTAGCATGACATTGTCTAATTTCAAATCTCTGTTGAGTAAATAATGCAAAAAGAATGGAAAAAGCAATTATCAAAAATTCAAATTTGTTAGCCAAAACATATGACACAAATTTAAATTATTTTAAGCACAGCATTCATTTTTGAGATGCTTTTTTCTAAATATTTTTATATATGAATAAGTTTTGCCATGAGCTGATTGCCATTCCAGCAGCATTTAGAGCAAGGTTAGATCAGTCAGTAGACAGAACTTTGTAAGGCTGGGACTTAACTTAAACTGCTATTTGTGACTCAAAGATATTTTCATGTCCAAGACTCATATATAAATCTCTGATCTATGTTTTTGACAGCTTCATCTTTTAAGAGTGCATCAAGGTGATTTGTTTGGACAAACTTGAGAGAGCTCTTCATCTCAGCAATCTACCCAAACTATATTTGATTAAGGTTGGGAGGTTATTCTGCAAAACTTCTTAGGCAACTACTGCATTTTACAGACCCAGAAGTCAGGTAAGATGACTCACCTGTACACTATGCCCTGTGAATGCAAATACTGAAGTCCACTCACTATTTCTGCTGCATAAAACCTGAAAAAATAGAATGGAGTTCAATCTATTACATAAAGTCATGGAAACTGAAACTATAAACCAAATTATGTGGAACAAACTGTGGAAAAAGACAGTATAATGAGTGAAAGTATTAATGAGCACATACATATGTAGGAATACACAAGCTATCACTTGGTGAACATAACTCTGTCTCTATGATGAAGCGGTGAACATAACTC